GATCAATGAACAAATGAAATGAATTAACAATCTAACCCACCAACATATAATTAAATAAGAGAACATCAAAAAATTATCAACTTTCTAATATATAATAATCATTTAAATTATTAACGCATGATAATATTCAGCAGTCTAACCAATAACAAAATTAGAAGCATTAATTTGTTATATTTTCTTATATTTAACATTATGTTTTTGGAGAGTAAATGTTTGTATGTATAACGAAATCTTAAAAGAGAGATAGGAGATATCAAACCTTACAATTCATGTATCTGTGTATATTTATTTATATTTAATAAATATAAAACATGAAATTTATATTTAATACATGTAAAACACAAAAATTATCGTATTATAATTTATATCCACATGTCAAGTACAAAACCTATTTTTTTAATCAAATTTGTATACGATTTTTAGTAAAATTTTAAATTGTATTATTTTTATATATTTTTTAATGTATCAGCACATTATATTCAAAATTATCGAAGTATAGAGAGTCAAACCTTATTCCTCATCCCTTTTAAGAGCGGATAGAAATTGTATATTAAGTAAATGTTGAGTAATTTAGCAACATCCACCGAATATATGGAGGTAATTAGGTGTGGCTGTTGGTGTTAAAGCCAAAAATGGACATTTTCCTCTCATTCTTAAATCTTTTCCCATGTATTTTCAAAAGAATCAGATACGCTACTATCAAAGACATAATGACGCCCCTGCATTATTTGGCACATTGTCTTTAGCCCTAAAATGATGTACTACTACTTTTTGTTAATTATGATGGAATAATAGACTACCTTTCACTATAAAATGGACAATACCAGCTTATTGTTTTTTCCACATGTGAATTGTGTTTTTAACTTCGCTGCAACCCTAATATTAACTAATATTATCAGCCTGCTGCATCTATCTCTCCCAATCTCCACCATGTCTAACCATGACAATTTCAACTATGCTTTCCCGTCAATAAGTTTTAACCCCTTTTCCCTCAATTCCAATTTGAATGAGTCTGGCCTGACCAATCCTCTGCTTCGTCGCGCCACCAATCGCAACACTGGCCACAATGAAAATGACCTTAGTCAATTCACCTATGAGCAGAGAAGAACAAATCTTTCACCCTATCTGCTACAACTTCAGAGCATCGGGGACAACCTTCCTCCCCAATACCAACCAGGCTTTCATGAGGCCGATGTCACTGAGACGAAGCCAACCCCGTCTCTTACTGCAACCTCAACCATGGACCGTTTGCCACCAATTCCCAATCCCTATGGAAGCAGCAGCCTCAACCAGGTTCCGGGCTTTCATGGGGCTGAGGCCGATGTCACTGAGACGAAGCCAACTCCGTCTCTTACTGCAACCTCAACCATGGACCGTTTGCCACCAATTACCAATCCCTATGGAAGCAGCGGCCTCAACCAGGTTCCAGGCTTTCGTGGGGCTGATGTCACTATCTTCGACCGAGCGAATGGTCCTGTCGTTCAACCTCATGTGCCTCGTCGAGACAGTCTTATACGGCCTAGTGTGCCTACCTCTGCGAACCGTAACAATCGTAATGGCGCCAGAAGAGACGAACTTCTCATTAGTACATTACCGTTGAGTGTACACTGTCCGTCTGATGCTGGTGCAAAAACATCTAACTTGGATGATGACTCCAATAAAATCCAAATTAGACATGTTAGTCCGGTAAACTCGAGCAGGCATCCAATTCTTACCCCACAGGGAGCTCCTCACATCCAACGTTCAAGCTCTGGGCCGGCCATAGTTAATATTCCTAATGATCAAAATGAAGACCAGATCGGAAGGATCAAGAATGACGGCAGGATTCACAGCTTGCCTCACAAGAAGAATGGTCCATATTATTGCCCTTTCCCTGAATGCAAAGGCTTCGTCTTCCGTACAGCACAAACATTTGGAGCTCACACGCGGACGTATCACTACAGCGGTGAAACTATAGAAGAGAAGAAGAGAAGAGAAATGAAAAGGTATGGTGCTGCAAAAAACAAACTTAGCCTTGCCTGCACAGCTGATGGTATTACAGTCATGCCGAATTCATTGAATTACAAGCCGGTTAAAGTGGGTTCTATGCAAAAGAATGCTCGTGGAAAGGAGAAGATTGGTGTTCAAATTAAGGATTATCCACAGAGGTTTGCTCAACATGAGGCGGCTATCAAACAAGAGAATATTAAGTGCAAGCCCATGTGACAATAAAACAATAGCAATTTCTATGTTCTTAAAGGTTGATGTAACAAAACAAGTGTTTGATTCATGCAATTTAGAAACTAAGGTTATGTTTTAATGTTTGATCAATAGAGCATGTATGCAACTATGTACGGTCAAAATCTTTATTGATTTTGAAAATTATAATTACATCTTAAATTTTCGTTATAAATAAATGCGTCAGTCATTACCATTATATAATTTAAAAAGCATGATTAAATTTTTAAAATATAGTTATAAATTAAATCAATTCTTAAATTTTCGTTGCGAATAAAATCATAACAATAACTATTATAAATTTTAAAAAGTAAATTTAGATTATTGAAATATAGTTATAAATTAAAAACAAGCAGTAACATTTACCTTTAGGTATTTTGGAAATTAATGAAGTTTAAAAAATCTATTAGTTTTTTGTTCTTTTTTTTTTAATATGCAGTTCTTTATTAGATAGTTTTTTTTTTTTTTGGTAAATATATATATTAGATGCATGTCTTTTCGATTTTGTTATTTTTTGTATATTAATTTTTTAGCTTTAAATTTCAATTATACACAACAATATATATACATAAACAATAATCATAATAATATTTCAATAAAAAAACAAATGTACAATTCAACAAATTACATTTACTAGTTTGATTATTAGGCTTAAGTTATTAATATAAGTAATTCAATGATCAAGTTACTAGATCACGATTTTCATTCTCCGATCGATTAACTGTTAAAGATAGATGATACACCTAAAATAAAAAAATCTACATAGAAATCAATATATTACAAATTCTAACAAATAAATGATGAAATCCATAATAACTTAAACATCCATCAAACCTAATTTGAAAGTAGAAAGGTACAAAAAAAAAAAAAAGATGCTTTTATCGTCCAATAATTTCTTAAAAATGTATCAAATAGAAAAAAAAAAAAAGTTATTAATATTGTCAATTTAAATATTTTAAAAATAAAAGGAATCAAATCAAATATATATAATTTTTGCTAAAGGTAATTTCATCGAAATTTTCTATCCACTAAGTGAAAAAAATATTAAATTTATAAGCACATCCTATAAAAGTTGTCAAGTAATTAAGAAAAATATTAACTTTGTTGAAATCAACTTAGTACTAAAATTCAGTTACACTAAATTATAATAAATAGTAATAGATTGTTTTATTTAACAACAAATCAACATATTATAACTCATATAACGAATTCAATGTATGAAGTCCTAATTTTAAGGGCCTAAATCTTGGCCCTTAAAAAGTCGATAAATCTATGAATTCTACTCATAACTTTTACGGACTTCTTGTAAATAATTTGATGTGATAGTTTCCTATATAAAATAGAAAACAAAACTTACTAATATTATCAATTTGCATATATTAAACAAAAAGTAAAATAATAGTTTTATATGCATAAATATGAATATTAATTGCTACATGATAAGTAAATATTTGAGGTATAAAATAATTATTATTTTATTATATGTATGGTGTCTACGTAAAAATAAATTTTGAATTGCAAAAATAATTAGTTACCCTTTAATTTTTTAATTTTGGATTATTCAATCCTTTAAAAAATGAGAAGCTTATTCTAACATCAGGAAATTAAGTAGTAAATACTTAAAAATTATTTATTTTACCCTTAAACCTTATATTTAAAATTAAAACGACTTAAACATTTAATAATTAAGATGACCAGCGTCAATGTTGAATTGATTAACCCAAATTGTTTTCTTTTTTTTTTATTTCCTCTTTTACTTTTTCTTATTCCCCCCCCCCTTTTTTTCTTTTTTCTTCTTTTTTATACTTTTTTAATAAAAAAATATATAGTTTTGATTAAATAATAACTTTTTTTAACAAATTTTTTGAAAATTATTTATTGGAAATAATTGAAATTTCATTTTTATAAATAAAATTGGATTCTTAACCTTAAAAACTAATATAAATTATATATTTTTTAGTTAGAAAATTTTGAATTATTAATTTTAACTAGTATTTTTTTTCTTGCTTTTCATATTTTTTTCCTTTTTTCTTCTCTTTTATTTCTTCTTTTATTTCTTGATTTCTTCCTTTTTTATTTTACCCACTTCTACTAGGAAAAGCAAGGAATAGAAAAAAATAATGAAAAAGAGATAAGATTTTTTTGAAAAATAAAATCAATGTGCTTTTGCTTTTTAATAAAATCAACATTCTTTTTGAAAAATTCATTTTTAAAAAAAAATATATATGTAGCTTTCAATCATAGAAATTATTTTAAATTTAAATTATAAAAGAAAGAAAAAGAAAAAAAATAGAGAAAATACTTTTAATAAAAATTAATTTTTAACAAAATCAATTTTTTGAAAAAATAATTTAATTTTTTTTAAAGCAATCAATTATTTTATTAGATAATCAACTTTTTAGAAAAATAAATAAATTTAACTCTTAATTATAGAAACTATCACTACAAGGGAATAAGTTTTTAGCGGCATTTTTTTTTCATATTTATAAATATTTACATATCTAAATATATAATTTATTTCAATATATATGTAACACAGAATTTAATACAATAATATTCAAATTGTTTCACTACATTAACTAGAAATTTAAACTATGTAAAATTGATGAGCGTTTAGACTTGGAATACTGTTATTTGATTAAGAATTTTTTCCAACACAATCCCTACCGAATTCAAGATTTCAAAAACCAATTGAATAAAATAAAATAAATTTTTACACTTAATAATAAGCTATTTCTGATATTAAAAATTATAAATACTTACTAAATGCAAAATGCAACTAATGACAATTAAATACATGGAGTGGGTGACACCCACTTACCAATAGAAGGATTTGATGATTCGTGAATGACAAAGGCAAGTGAAACACTTATCAATATGAGGATTTTCTTGTAGCTAGCCAAACTTTGCTGGGATATCACTCTAGCTTCATTAGCATAAAGGTTGACAAGAGCAGATTTTGCTGGTAAAAGTAGGCATCTTTCCCTTAAATTTGAACAAGCATCAATTTCCTATCACATTTGGGCATTATAATTAAGAGAAAGAACAATGCATTATAAATATAAATAAGAGAAAGAGAAACATTCAGGGAAGACTGAGCAAAACCAAAGAAAAAGGGGCTTGGGGGAAAGAACTGTTGAGAGAGCAGAGTTAAGAACAGTGGATGCAATTATATTCTGCATTTACCTACAATGCCATATAAGGTAAGGTAGAGGATGACTTGTAATTTTCATAGTTAAATAAACAATAACTAGCTCAATCAAGCAACTTAATTTTAAGGTCAATCAAGCTAGTTCTCTAAATTAAAGTGATGATCATATAGGATTTGTTGCACCAAAGACAATTGTCCAGACTAAGAGCTGTAACAAGGCTAGCCTGAAAATTAGAAGAATGCCAAAACTTGTTTAATATAGCTGTGCTCCTACCAATTAGCAACTAGAGCATAACAGAAATAAGCACTTATAGAACCAGTTGTATTTCATGTTATCTTAGCTCTAGAGCAAACAGATGCACAATCAGAACAGAAGGTACTGAATTATTGTGCAAGATCAACAAGCTCAGATGCTGAAACAGTTGAAGCCTTTTTGAAACCCATGACCAACTTCCCTATAGGCTCTAACTGACTAAATGTTAATGAGGAAAGAAAATAACTATCAGTTTCAAAACAAATATAAGTCTCAAATCATGACGTATGATCAAAGGATATAGCCACCATGTCGGGAAGAACACTAAATCAAATGCACAAGGGTTTGAAATACACAATTGCTGGACAAACAAAATGAATATGGCAACAGCCAACAAGCAACACACACACACACACACACACACACACATATTTTTGACACAATTAAACCCTGTCAATAACATGTATGACCTGGTAAATCCAAGCTCAATTAGAAAAAAACCAGAAAAAAATTCTAAAGAATATGTCTGTCAGGAGAGGCACAGATTAAGCAATAACTTGAACATGGCATACTTTAGGCCTCATATCACAAAATACTGAAATCTTTAAATCATTGTTTTCTAGTGATATCAATTTGTTACCTATGTCGCCTGCTTGCAGTTGCATGTTCTGTATGCAAGGAGCAACCCCCTCTAAAACATACATTTTGCTATTATCGTTGGGCCAGAAGCAAAACTGAAATATCCATTCCTTTCATTTTGAATCCTGGACTTTAAGAGGTAAACCTTTTTGCTGAGATATTGATGGGAAATAGGCTTGTCTCATGATGAGTGCATTTTAGTATATATGTGACAATAATCCAGATAACAATTGACAAGAAACTAAAATGTGCAACACCAAACACAAGGCTCATATTTAGCTTAAACAAAAGAATCATTAAAATTAGTGACAGTATAAAACTAGATGAAAGTGTTTCCAATAAAAAAAACGAGGATGCTAAGTAATACCAAAAACACATAAAGTCAAAACCTGCTATCCATCCACAAAATAATGATTAGATAATTGAAGTAAATAAAAATTTTTATACTGCCAAGCCTTATAACCATCAATCTGTAAAGTTTTATTGCAAATCAATTGAACAGCAAATGCTAGTCAAATTAAAAACTCTTAGGCATTTAAGAGCGATGACTCACCTCTGCACATTTTTTTGGCAGCACTAAACGTCCAATTCGCCCAGCATCAATAGCACTCAACATTTTCTCAAACAAAGGAATGATTATAGAATTTGAACTCATTATGGTTAAGCCTAACCGAAGCACTAATGTCATGACAAGTATATAGGTACTAAAAGTTAAATGCTTAACAAACATTTTAGACTATAATCCAACTTTTAGAATTAATATTACTGGAGTTTTTTCCCCAAAAAATTATATATAACATAAGTCATTCAGTAAACAAATACTAAAATTCATGAATGGTCATTGCACCTATTGAGCGTATACTTCAGAATCGTAGTTCTTGAGTCCATTTTCTTTCAATGTTGTGAAAGAAGAAATCTGTAACCTTATTAGAGCTATTAGGCTCAGCTAGTTTTAAAAAAAATGGGCAATATTTTTCATAGTGAGGTGGCCTATATGGAAATCAAACCCCTGCAGACTGCAGTTCCCATTTTATGATAGAAAGTAACCTAAGTGACGAGACCTAAAACCAGGCAACTCGATGGCAGCAAGGTTTAGTTTCTTTTTTAACCAAAAGAATAACTTCAATTAAACTATCAAAATTCAGGAAAACAAATTAATTCATAAAAAAAAAAAAAAAACATTGCATTCCGATAAAGAATTTCAATTTCTCAATCTACCAGGGAAATAGGCCTTGAACCATTATCAACCAAATTTGTTAACAGCCCCACACACTTTTTCATGTACTACCCCTCAAATTCTACTCATTATTTATTAAACCATTATCAGCCCAATTTGTTAACAGCATGCAAAACAAAAAAAAAAAAAAGAAAAATTATGGGTCTTTTTTCTTTGCATACCTTATAACCATGAACAAAATCACAGCCCGGAAAGAGAACAGCAACTTTTGTTAAAGAAAACCTTATATAAACCCCCCTAAAAATCAATTTTTTTGTTAGTTAAAACTGCATTGATCAAAATTCAGATTATGTAAAACCTTATCTTGCATGCTATGGGAGGATTTCCATGGATTTGATAAAATTTGGCATGTAAACAGAGGCCATGTTAAAGAAGAAGGGTTTGAACCCTCACTGGAAACAGAGGACTTTGCAAGGAAGTTTGAGAAGTGGAAGAAGCATGTTTGACCTGTAGCTTTTGGGGAACGAAACCGAGAAAGAGTGAGAGCAAGAGGAGATAGTTTGACCTGTAGATTTAATTTGAGGAGTAAGAGCGAGGAAAGAATTTAGGGAAGAAGGACACGGGAAAAATTTGCGTACAAGCGTGCAGATATAATTTGGGGGGAAAATGGTGGCGTCTATTTAAAAACGCCACTCAAGAATGACTTATAGCGGCATTAGTTAAAGTAAATGCCGCTAATAAACGCCACTAAATAATCAATATTAGCGGCGTTTTTTTTTTTTTAAACACTTATATTAGTGACGTTTTAGTTTAACACGTAGCAGAATAATAAAAACAATCCGTTTCAGTTTTATTATAAATTTTATAAAATTATATTTTCAAAATAATAAATTTTGATAATTATTTTACAGTGATTTATTACACAAATACCACTAAATTTTACATTTAGTGGCGTTTTGCACCTCAAACGCCGCTATATTTTTTTAGTGTCATTTTATGTAATAAATGCCGTTAAATTTATATTAACACAACAAATAATGTGTTTGTTAGAAACCACCGCTAAAAAAGTATCACCAAATTCCTATCTCTTTATAGTGTATTATACTATTAGTTTCAGGTACTACGGAACGAACGTGTAATTTTTATCTATAAAAATTCATTTTAATAAATAATTTTTTAATATTATGATAATAATAATAAAAAATACTAATAATTTAATTTTGATTTTGTTATAATATAAGTAAAGTTTGATAATTTTTTATATAATTTTAATTTTAATAACTTTTTGCTAAAATTTTGATAACCTTCTATGCATTTTGATAACTTATAATATAATTTTGGTAATCATTGATACAATTTTGGTAATTTTTTATAAAATTTTAATAACTTCTTGATATAATTTTAATAATCTTTTGATAACTTATAATATAATTTTGATAATTATTAATAAATTTTATGTCATCAGATATTTAACAGTGGATTCCTATAGGAAAACATGAGCTTAGTTCTAATATAAGATCATTTTCATTTTATACAATAACATTATTATTTCATTCAAATTTAAAATTTTTCACTAAATCTTTTTATTAAATAAGTTTATGTTAGGTTTATTCCAGTATCTCAAAATAAAATTTTTAGCTCCATTTCTGCTAATAACTAAGATTCAATTATTGACAACTTCAAGTTTTAAAAAATTTATCAATGATTAATAAATTAGTTATCATTAATTTACTATTATGTTATTAGCAATTTACTACTAAGCTATCAATGATATATTACTAAATTATTAATAATTTACTACTAAATTAATATAGATTTACTATTAATTTATGAATGGTTTACTATTAAATTATATCTGATTTATTACTAAATTGTTAATAATTTACTACAAAATTACTAATCATTTATTATAAAGTTATAATTAATTTATTATTAATTTATCAATGATTAACTAATTTGTTATTAAATTATCACTTATTTACAACTAAATTATTAATGATTTACTATTAAGTTATCAATAATTTACATCTAAATTATCAATGATTAACTAGTGTGTTAACATACATTTACTATTATATTATCATTGATTTACAACTTAATTTTTTATTATTTACACAAAATCATCACAGATTTATTACAAAATTAACTATAATTCATTATCAAGTTATCATTTATTTATATTATATTAAATTATCCATAATTTACTATTAAGTTACCATTAGCTAACTATTAAGTTAGTTTTTTTTATTATTTACTACTATTAAGTTATATTGATTTACTTTTATGTTATGATTAACTACTAAATTATTATTGATTTATCAAGTTATTTGTGATTTACTACTAAATTTATCAATTAATTACTATAAAATTGAAATTGATTTACTATTAAGTTCTCACTAATTTACTATTAAATTATTATCGATTTATTATCAAGTTCTCAATTATTAACTACTAAATTATCACTTAATTTTTATTAACCTATCATTGATTTACTAATATATTGTTTTGTATTTACAACTATGAAAGATGAAATTTAAAAGTCCACTAATAATATACAAGATAATTTTTTTATATAATAACATTATTGTTTTATCCAAGTTTATAATTTTTGCACTAATTTTCTTATTAAATATGTTCATAATAGATTTATCCTAATTCCTAAAATGAAAGTCCTAACTTTTTTTATACTAGTACCCAGGGTTCAATCCCTAGCAACTTCAAGTATAATAAAAGTTATTAATGATTGATAATTAAGTTAACAATTATCTATTACTAAGCTATCATTGATATACTACTAATTTATAAATGATATGATACTAATTTATTAATGATGTGCCATTATATTATAAATGATTTACCAATCATTGTTAGTTATTTACCACAAAGTTATCGATGATTTTATTATAAAATTACTACTATATTACTATTAATTTATTAATGATTTACTAAAATGTTATCAATAATTAACTAATTTACTATTGAATTATCATTGATTTACAACTAAATTATTAGTAATTTAATAGTAAGTTATCAATTTACTACAAATTATCAATGATTTACTATTATATTTTTATATATTTATTATTATGTTATCATTGATTTATTACTTAATTTTTAATTATTTATCACAAAACTATCACTAATTTACACTAAATCACTTATGATTCATTGCCAAATTATTACTATTTTATATTAAATTATGAATGATTTACTATTAAGTTATTAATAATTAACTATTATGTTATCAATGATTTACTACTAAGTTATGCAAATTTACTTTTAAGTTTTCAATTAATAACTAATAAATTATCAATTATTTATTATTAATTTATAATTGATTTACTGTTAAGTTATTTATTATTTACTACTATCAATTAATTACTATTAAAATAAAATTAATTTGCATTAAATTATCACAATTTACTACTATTAAGATATTATTGATTTATTACTAAGTTATCAATAATTAACTATTAAGTTATCACTCATTTTTTAAAGTTATCCTTGATTTAGTACTATATTGTTATACATTTATAATTATATTATAATTTATTTACCATTAAAGTATTATGCATTTATTATTGTATTATTATAGATTTGCTAAGAAGTTATCTACTATTGACTATTAAATTATCATTCATTTACTATTAAGTTATTACTAATTTATTACTAAATTATCTATGACTATTACTAAGTTATACTAATTACATTTAAGTTTTTAATGACTAATTATTAAGTTGTTAATTATCCACTACTATATTATCATTGATTTATGTATATCTAAAAAGAGTATAATCACAATATATGCTAGATGATATAATTTATAAGATAGAGAAAGAAAGAAAGAGAAAAGAAAAAAATTCAAGTGTAAATGACTTGAAAAGCAAGAGTAAATACTTTTAATTTACTATCAATAATTTAACACGTAATGATAAGTTAAAATCATAACTTTTTATATTAATGTAAATTTTAAACTAAATTAAATAAATATATACAATATATATTAAGTCAACATTTCAAAAATATTTTTAAATTTTTTAGTTTGTGATAAAATAGTACATATCAAGATGAGTTTATATTTGATACATTGTCATTGTATAGATTTATCACTATCGGTAAATCAGATTATATCACCTTATTAATGAACAAATATCAGCTTTTAAAATAAATATACATAAATAAATATTTTTAAAAAACTTACTCATTAATGAGATAGTATCATTTAATTCACTTCATTAATGAGATGGCATCATCAAATTCACTTTGTAATGCATCAAATATAATCCTATTAAGATAAACTTTATAAATGATTCAATTGAATTATTAATGTATATGTTTTCATACCTGTTATTGATGTATAATTGGATATAAAAGATTAAAAATTTAAAATGTTTTGTCACCAATAAAAGTAATAAATTTTGCCCTATATTTTTATCTTTAAGTATATAATTTTGGATAAAAAATTTTGTTATATATGTGATACAAGTAATGAGAACAAATTTACTAAATAAAATTCATAAAAATTAAACAGACTACAATTTTAAAGATTATTACGTTCACAATAATTACCTTCGCATTCTCCATAAAAATTTTCTTCTACTAAACAAAAAAAAGTAGTATACTTTTAAGTATTGCTTTGTTGTTATTACCATGTTTAAAATAACTTTTTTTAATATTTTAATGTTAATCAATTTCTTCATTTGAAAAGAGTAAAGAATACTCAAATAATATTTAACTCTATGTTGTCTTTCTGAATAAGTATGAACTATAATATCTCTTTCAAATAAAATATTTGAATTGTTTCCTTCAAACTATATAACAGCAACTTGATCAATAAATGAATGATTATAAACTCATTAATCTAGATTATTATTTCTACAATACAAATTTCAAAATTCTCAAAATAAGATATATATTTTTTAATCTCTGTAAGACTTAGACATAAAAATTTTTTTCTAGAATTATTAGTAACATCTCCATCACTTTTA